TTAAGGATTTTGTAACACCTTTCAGATTAGTAAATGAATCTAGCAGATTATTTGCAAGATGTTGCAAATTAATGATCTTCCGAACTTGAAGTTCAGTCTCATGGGTACGTGGATCAGAGGATGAAATGGCATGAGCATTCCAATCAATTTCTGGGCATTCTTTCTGGTACTTGAAATCTCCCCCTAATGCCGGAAAATGTTCCTCATTAAATATGCAATCAGCGTGACGGGCTGTGAACAGATCCCCAGTCAGGGTTCCAGGTACTTGATAATCGATGGCGATTTGTACCCCACATAAATCCCCAACTTCCTGTGTGGGCCCATAGATGTCCATTGTGGTGGTGAGATAGGGATGTATGCAGCACATCCGAACTTACGCAGATGGGAAATGCTAGGAGGATTTCCACGCACCAATTCCAGAAGGGAAGAACTGTGATATGCAGTTGGCCTCAATTGTATCAAGTCAACAACATGTAAAATAGCGTGACCCCAACAAGAGGTTGGCAAGTTGCAATTCGTCAACAAAGGTCTTGCAATGAGTTTGATCCTCTTAATGAATGCTTCAACCAAAACATTTTGTTTATGGACATATGGAACAGAGTGCTAAACTTCAATCCCCAAAGCCATGCAATAATCATTGAAAGCATGTGAGGAGAATTCTGTAGCATTGTCCATTCGAATTGACTTAATTCGACTATCAGGATAATGGGCTTGCAACTTAATGACTTGCCTCATTATCTTGGCAAATGCATGGTTTCGTGTGGATAGAAGACACACATGTGACCATCGTGTAGATGCGTCAATCAGAACCATGAAATACTGGAAAGGTCTAGATAATGGCTGAATGGGGCCACAAATGTTTCCTTGAATAAGTTCAAAGAACTGAAGTGGTTCGGCTTGTATTTTGAGGTGTGATGGCCTCAAAATTAGCTTTCCCGTGGCACAAGATGTGCACACAAAATCAGAAGATTGAGGAAATTTTGACTCAAGCAAATTATGACCAATGGAATTGCTAGTAATTTTTCTCATCATCCCTATCCCGGGATGGTCTAGGCGATCATGCCAGGTTTGGAATGCATTAACATTCTGAAAAATTACTTTGTATGCAACATGTTCTACGGGTTTGATGTACGTATAGTACAAACCAGACGATAGAGAAGGAATTTTCTCATGTACCTTTTTGCCATATCCGTGATCTTTGGTAAAGAGTAGATAGCTCTCTTTGTTGTCTTCATGGGTTTCAATGTGAAAACCTTTTTTACGGATATCTCGATAACTGATCAGGGCGCGTGAAGAATCGGGATACAATAAAGCATCCTCAATTATCACTTGTGTACCACTTGGGAGGGTGAATATGGCACGTCCAGTACCAACAATCACTGTATCGCGTCCAACAATAGTTAGAATATCACCATTCATCTTTTTCAGAGTTTGGAGATATTTCATCTCCCTCGGTATGGAGTTTGTGGTACCACTGTCCACAAGGCATAATTCCTCTTCCATCGGATTGTCCCCATAGAAAACTATATAAAACAAAGAATTTTCAATAAGAAAAACCTCATAGTAATATATAGAATACAATCTTTATTGTATCAAATGTGCTAATACAATACAATATAAAGACAACAACAAACTTGTTCTTATTACAATCATCACAAATGGACATAATTAGGTAGATCACTAAGGAGATTGAGGGACTAGTCGAAGTCGCCAAACACATTGTTTGCGGTGTACTCAATCAACGTGTTCTCCATTTTAGCAGTATCCTCAGGCAGATAAGGAACCACGGCGTTGCTCGGTCCAGGAGGAACATCGTGCGAACCACCAGCTCCTTTTGCGCTATCCGGATGAAGGTTAAAGTTGGCTTCAAACTTTTCCCTTGAGGTGCTTTGCGTCCTTGAGATTGTGGGTACAACATAAGCAGATGCTTGGGCATTGTGCACTTTTCAGTAGAATGCGTGTAGCATCCACACTTGTTGCAAAGCTTAGATTAATCAACGATGGGCTTTGAAGTGCCATTTCCCTTTCCTGGGTATCTAGATCTCCTGTTCCCATTGTGTTTTCGCTTATGCTCAAAATTGGAATGTTTACCCCGAAAGGTACCATTAAACTTCTGTCTATTTGCAACATTCAGATGGACTTCAGGTAAAGGTTGTGCCCCAACTGGGCGCTGAAAGCCATTCTTAGCGAGTAGCTCATCATGCTTTTCAGCCTGAAGTAACATGTGAATAAGCTCGGAATAGACAGTGTAGTTTCGAGCACGATATTGCTGTTGGAGGATTCTATCTGAAGGGAGCATAGTAGACAAAGTTTTCTCTATCTTCTCCCCCTTAGTAGGTTCCTTCTCACAAAAGCGTAGTTTGGAACATATATTATGAACAACATGATTGTACTCTCCGGTGGACTTCAAATCCTGAAGACGGAGATGAATCCAATCATGGAGTGCTTCTGGCAGGACTACTGCCTTTTGCTGTTCATACCTCGTTTTGAGGGCCAAAACAGAGTACTAGGAGATTCCTCCTGTAAATACTCAGACTTGAGATCTGGGTGAATATGATGCCTTATGATGAATAAAGCAACATAGTTCTGCTATTCTGTCAGCGGCGTGGCTCCAGCCGGGAGAGGAGTCTCAGGGGGATGGATTGCACGTGCAATCCCATGAGATGCAAGACTGATCTTGATGTCCATAGCCCATGTAGGATAGCTGTGGCCATTGAGGGCAAGCTCCTCAAACTCTTTGGCAGTCATCTTTGCCTACATGAGGAACCAGAGATAATTAATTCACGGGTGGTAAATTAAAACCATCATGGTTCTGTAATAAGAACGCAAAAAATTGATGCTCAAGTGTAAAACTTGAAAAATTCTCAACCTCAATTGTGTAAACATAACACATTGAAGATCACTTAGATCTCACAGTAATAGGCTACATTGCCATTACCTTGTGTATGCTACAATTCATATATAAGGAGGGAGAAATATTCAAAAATTTGCAAGTTTGATATGCGAGAGAAGATGATCTCAATCGCAAAAACATGTTCACCGCAGTGGGCGCGTCCAGGAGCATATGGACCGTTTCCAGGGGCGTGGTGAGCACCGCGACGGGCGCGTCCAGCGGCGCGGTGGTTGGGAGCGGCGCGATGGTTGCCAGAGGCGCCACGTCCAGCGGCGCTGCGGCCGAACCGTCGGATGGCTTACATCTAACGATGGAAACGGCGGAGGCCCCCGACTCCATGGCGGCGAAGGGCAACGAGGCGGTAGCGGCGACCGTCCTCGCGGATCAGACGGAGGAAGGAGACGAGGCTTGTCATCTCACCGGCGGCGAGTGCATCCTCTCTTCTCCTTTCTCTCTTGCCTTTTTTTGCTCGCGCTGGCTGTTCTACGTGTGTGATAACGTGTTTGAGATCGAAAGTGAAATCTCTGTATCGATTGATGGTTACATGCGCTACTTATACTATCTGGAGAGTCGCGAGCGAAGGGAGGCGTCGGTTCCATAGGGCAGGAGCAAGAGGCGTCTGTGCGGGACAAACCGCACGACGGTTTGGGTAAGAGGAGAGATTTTCCCCTAATTACAAATTAATCCTAATAAATATCTCGCTAGCTGGTGAGAGCCAGAGCCGTGGAAAGTCTCTCTTGCTATTAAGGCCACAAGCATCAAACAGGAAAATTTAGAGCCATGGTAAGTGATAGCGAATAGTGCGCGGCGGCACGCCGCGCCAAAAGAATTGATAAGCTATTTAGTTTTTTTTAATATTTCGTAAGTCGTTCCAAGATTCAATTCGTGGTAAAGTAGTTCATACAAAAAAAGATAATCTAATTGATACATGCATAAGTGATCCACTTTATATAGTGATAGTGGGTAATGGAAGGACGAAGCTTTGCTTCTCTTCTTAGACCTAACATATTGACCCTGATGTAGCGATAGTGAGATTTACATCTGAATCAAACCACTGCTGCTGGTCCTAAAAGACATATCATCAACAGCCAATCTATTCAAGTCGATCCAGCGAAGCAGGTGGTACGCTGCAACCATCTGACCGTCCATGAACCAACAAACTGGAAGCACACTATTACGGGAGAAAAGTCTATGCAGGTGATGACACACTAAAATATTGTTTAGCGTCTATATAGGCTTCCAGATGAACACACATTTTAGTCTTTACTATATTCCTATAACTCTGTGTGGAGCAAAGGTACTGAAAGCAAATGCAAATATTTTAGTCTTGACTATATTCCTTGAACACATCGTAATTCAGACTCGCTGACGAAGGGAGATGACCGAAGCAACCCACCTGATCCCGAGCTGCAAGTTGAGTAGGAGCTCCTAGTGCTTGCGTCAATTACGATGGTCTCCTCCTGCTGCTTGGCCTGCCGCGGGGACACCCACTTGGCGATGTGTGGCGCCCGGGACGACGGCGGCAGAAGCGCCCCGCTCTCCCCGCCGTCCTCACGCTCCTACGCGCGTCGTCCACCAGGGTGACTCTAGAATGGTAGTGGCAGTGTTTACAAACGTTCAGACATGGATATATCACTCCGGCATCAGTTTGGTGCTATGCTAAGTTGCTAACTCTAATCGATCGATCCGTCTTGCTGCTGCTGATGGAGCCCCAGCGCCAACAACAACTCCAGGTTCAGAAACTTACAAAGCTACGTACATCATGTAGTCCATCCTCTGCTTCAAGTTTCGGTGAATTTGGTTTGCAGATTTTCAGTTTTAATTTGTTTGGTATGAATACAAAAACACACGAAATGAATGAACTCGCGTATAGACGTGGTGCTTGTGAAGGTGGAGATGAATCGGAAGTTGTCGTCGGTGAAGGCGTGGGACGAGAACCAGAAGAACAAGGCCTGCCGACAACAGCTGCATGCCTCCACTCAACTCAACTTAACTGAACCTAACCGAACTGAATACACAAGAGAATTCTCTATGCTGCAGCCTGCAGGGCTGAGCACAAGATGTAGCGGTCGGCGCCGTCTTGTAGCCCGGAGTGCCACTCGCCGTCTTACTGGTCGCCGTTGACGTAGTTCTTCCTGTCGTTGCCGTGCTTAAGTTTCATGGACCAGGAGCCCTTGTACCTATCCCCGGCGGCGGCGGTGTAGGTGTCGTCGCCATCCATGAAGCCGTCCTTGAACTCGCCCTCTAAGGTGACTCCCGGCCCGACGGCCAGGAGAACTTGCCCCGGCCCGTGCCACCACTCCCCCTCGTACATCCACCCGTCCATCCACAAGTACATCCCAGCGTCGTGCGGCACGCCAACGCGCCACTGCCAGATGTAGAACTCCCCGTTGGGGGAGGCCGCGCTCGACGAACTCCTGGCTCGGGCGGAACACGCCTGCGGAGGAGAACACCGAGGAGGAGGAGTACTTGAAGAAGGAAAGTACATGACCATCGTCCGTACTCAGACTTGGCTTAGTTTGGTCAATTGATAGAACACCTCGCAAGAGAGCTCAACATCGGCGTCGCAGGAGGCGGCAAGCGAGGGGCTGGAGCCGGAGCGGGGCGAAGAGAGGATGCCGGAGGAGGCCAGCTTGTCAACCTAGCCACCCCGTTCACGTACCTGCAGCAGAACAACCATCTCCTGCCAAGCCTCCTCCGACGCCGGGGCGCGTGCTCTTCCTCTGCCTGCGTTGCTTTTCCAAGAGTCCGACGGCATCATCGCCCCATCCTTCAACGCCAACACCGCCACCGATAAACGGAGGGCCTAGCGCTAGGGGCTGGCCGGCGACCAGGCTGGGGAGGATGGGGCTGCGCGCCGTGCTACCATCTCGGCCTCGCTGGGGGGAACAGAGGGCCTGACGCAGGGGCTGCCGGCGACCAGGTTGGGGGAGGATGAGGCTGCGCGCCCGTATAGAGAAAGAGGATAGGGGGCGGCGGCGGCATAGTGCTGGGTTGGGATAGAGGGTTGGATGATTTCTTGCAGAGACGGTGAACCAACACCAGGCCAATTACTTATAGGCAGCCAAAAGCAAAGAAAAAACAAAGATGAAGCCCACCAGAAAACCCTAGAAGGCAACGTGTCCATCAGTAAACTGGCAAACGTGGCGACATGCATGGCCCATGCAGCAATCGCGGAAAATCTAGAAGACCATCGGAAAAGCTCACGTGAACTGGACCAAGACATATGCATGCATCACACAACCAAACAAATATTAAAGAGAAAACAAAGGAAGGTCGCTGTAGGATGTACTGCACACACAGAGAAAACGTGTCGCTCAAACAGTGTAGGACAAATTATAGATCTACAACAGCAGTGGAGGGGACATGAGATTGAACTGGAGTTTTCTAGAGAGAAGTACGTGTCGCGACCGGACCCATCTTCCATAGTAAAAAAAACTGAAACTGATGTAAAAATTGTAACGTGGCAAATGAAGGAACCAGCTATGGACACGTACAATAAAAACACATGAAAGGAAACTGACGTGACATGACAGGAAACTGACGTGACCCTTCATGGGCATTCAATAGAAAGAAAGACGTGGTAAAAAAGACCCTGCAAGATGCTAGGTAGCTAAGTAGGAACGGCAAGGAAAGCCCCAGCAACACGTGTCATTTTCTCAGGGGTGGTAATTTTTTTTTGAAAAAACCAGAAAATTCGAACCCTTACGGGCCTAGTATTCTTAGTGTGTCGCTTACCAATGGGCCAACTGCTAGCGACGTAATAATAGCATGCAAGTTGATTTTTTATAGAACATGCAAGGCGTTGGCAAGTTGGAAAATGATTTATCGTTGGCAAGCTTAACTCTCGGAACTTGTAGCATTCAACTGAATGAGAACAAAGATTAAAAAAAATACATTTCCATCGATACTGAAAAATTATTCAATTGAGTGACAATGAAAATTATATCGGAATGTACAATTACTTGTTGATTTTGAATTTGAGGCATTTTTCTATTTTTTAGTTAATAAGATATGCATATACCCACCCTTAGTGTTTTCGAGAAAACGAGAGGGCACATTCCTTCCTATGCTACCATCTGTCCCAAGCCTCGAATAAGTTATGCGGACATGATTATCTTCCCGCGTTGAAATATCGTGGCCTGGTAGAGCTAGCGAAGAATCTTCCATGTTGGAATATGTCGGCAGCTGGATAGCCGCCATGCATGGAAAATCTCTTTGACCTTTCCACTTGCTAAAGTGATACTGTATGTCGCCTACACTTGTTAAATCAATGGGCCAACTGCTAGCGACCTAATAATTGCAAGTTGATTTAGGCTGCTCATAATGGGAAGTATCATATACTAGTATCATGCATATGATACTAGTGTATGATACTACATCCATAGTGCATAGTATCATAGAGTAATATCATAGGTGGTTTCATTTATTGTCATGTATGACACATAGTAGCATAACATTTATTATGTTACAGTATCTATCTATGTTACTATAACCATCTCTATCTTCTTTAATTGCTTACCACATAAGCATGTTTGCGAGTCCCAAGTGCATGATACTACTTATGTTATCCCCACTATGACCATTTTTATCATCTTTAATCCACCTTAGGTATGTTCTGGACGTCGTAAAAATCACAGCCGTCCGCGATGTCGATGCAGGATAGGTGTAGCCGATCGTGGGTACGTGGTGCTGGCACCGATAGATATGCGGACGACAGACCAGCTAGCACGGGCCCAGGTGTCCATGGATCTTGGTCACCGTGGTGTGCATAGATTACACTGCCATACGCCATAGTCAGTGGAAGATAAATAAATTAATGAACAATGGAAGATAAATTAGTACGAGGAACTACATGCATAAAAGTAATGCATGCGTGAGAATATACCTCAACGATGAGATGGTGAAACCCTTGAAAGAAAATAAAGGATGGGATGATGAACCTCAAGTGTCGTCGTCTCCGGTCAGGCAAGACCGCATGGGTTGCCATATGAAGTCATCTTGTTGTCGTCGTATATCGTAGCCGGTCATAGCCGCCGGCGGCGATGTTACACGAAGATGCACCGTGACCACATGAGGAGCAGATGAGACCTTCTATATTTTCCTTCAGCTATTGTCGTCGTGGTTGATGCTGGACCAGAAGCTGCTGCCGCCTCTCCTCGCTTTCGCTGTGTCCCCGCCAGTCCGCCACGGCTGCAGCCGCCCGGCATGTATCCAAGGATGGGATGGCAAGAAAAGTCAGGCTGCCTTTGTTGTCATCGCTGCCATCAGCGATCCACAATTTCTAGAACAAGGAATATGCCTAGGAGTCTAGATTTGTAATAACAGTATACATGTGCTTATCCCTAAAAATCCGGAACAACTTTTCAAAGTGCTCGTGATCTCTCCCGTGGGATAATTTAAGAGGGAGTATGCGATAAACTAACAAAGATGATTACAGTACTTACCCGGTTTAAATGATTTATTAAGAGCTCATTTGGCAGTCATCATTTCATATATTTTTTGGCAAAAATGAAATAAAGCAGATCTAGACACTACCTAAAAAGTCCTACAATATTCAGAGCGGTCAGTCCTGAAGCCTTGTTATTTCCTTGGGCCACGCGGGTGTGGTGCTCCTTGCTCTGTGTTTTTTCCCGATAAAAGAGAGCTTTTCTCTCCGATTTCTAGTAATTCTTTTGAAAGAAGATTTCCACTAATAGAAATCACCAGGTCTTACAAGATAAGCAAAAGGAGACCCTGCTCTGTGTATAAATGGAGATCAACATCCAAGGCCTCCTCCCACACACACACACACACACACACGCTACAGAGCAGAGCAGAGTCTTGCTCCAGTATCTGCCCTCTCCTGCCTGTAGAGCATCCATAACGTGAAGTTCACGGACAAACATGTCTCCGGTGAAGGTGTTCGGGCACCCGATGTTGACAAACGTCGCACGGGTGCTGCTCTTCCTGGAGGAGGTGGGCGCCGAGTACGAGCTCGTGCCCGTCGACTTCGTCGCCGGCGAGCACAAGAGGCCCCAACACGTCCAGCTAAACGTAAGCAGACGGCAATTCGTCGATGGGTCACCGTATCAGGTTCAGGTGATGATTTCTGACAGAGATGCTACTTGCAGCCGTTTGCGAAGATGCCTGGGTTCCAAGATGGCGAATCATTACACATCAGTACACACATCAGTACACACGAATCATTCCTGTCTAGGAGTATCATGTTAAAAATCCATTGGTTGGTTTCTCTAATCTAACAAATCGATGAGTGAGTGCAGAGTCGCGCGCCATCGCGAAGTACATCCTCCGCAAGTACGGGGGGACAGCCGGCCTGGACCTCCTCGGAGAAAACAGCGGAATCGAAGAATTAGCAATGGTGGACGTGTGGACGGAGGTGGAGGCCCAGCAGTACTACCCGGCCATCTCGCCCGTGGTGTTCGAGTGCATCATCATTCCCTTCATCATCCCTGGCGGTGGCGCGGCGCCGAACCAGACCGTCGTGGACGAGAGCCTGGAGCGGCTGAGGGGTGTGCTGGGGATCTACGAGGCCCGGCTGGAGAAGAGCAGGTACTTGGCCGGGGACTCCATCAGCTTCGCCGATCTGAACCACATCCCATTCACCTTCTACTTCATGACCACTCCGTACGCCAAGGTGTTTGATGAGTACCCTAAGGTGAAGGCCTGGTGGGAGATGCTCATGGCGAGACCGGCGGTGCAGAGGGTCTGCAAGCATATGCCTACCGAGTTTAAGCTACGTGCGCGTACTAGATGTTTATGCACTCCGCGCGGGTGTGTGCCGTGCCGTGCTGGTGATGATCCCACTCAAGAGAAGAGACCTCCCTCCCGCGGGTGGGTGATCATCTGCCCGTCTACTTCCAGTATACCCTTTCAGTTTCAGCAGCACGAGGAGTCCGCTTGCGCTTCTGCTCGTGCGAGCCCGGATTCCTTGCTTTAATTTGTGCACTAGTAGTAAATAAACAACGGACTGGTCAATGCTGCTAATCCGTACGTCCTATATAGTAGTACCCCACTAGAGATCAGAATGGATCCAAAGCAAATATATATATATACACTACATCTTGGATACGTGTGTGTGCATGGCTCTCTGGCCGTGAAATCCTAGGAAATACGCCAAACCACCTTTCAATCTGCGCATCCATCAATCTTGGCGTCTCTCCAGATTTCGTTTTCCAAACCGCCGACTTAGCAGTTTATTTATTTATTACAAGTCGCGATTGCCTGCCATTTTAATTTCGCTCCGGAAAAAGAATTAAAGGACGTGTTTCGGGTCCATACCAACGAACTGTTTAGAAGAAATTGAGAGAGAATTGAGAGAAAGTAAAATTGAACCAGCAGTCCAAATCTTTACTGATGATGTCTATTTATAGTGTTACAAGCGACGCGTGCAAACGACGCGACGGTTGCTATTAGCAGTTTATTTATTATAAGTTGCGATTGCCGTTTAATGTCGCTCCGGAAAGAGAATTAAAGGACGTGGTTCGGGTCCATACGAAACGAGCTGTTTAGAAGAAATCGAGAGAGGATCAAGAGAAAGTAAAAATGAACCAGCAGTCCAAATCTTTATTGGTGATGTCTATTTATATTGTTACAAGCGACGCGTGCAAACGACAAGACGGTTGCTATTAGCAGTTTATTTATTACAGGTTGTGATTGCCGTTTAATTTCCCTCCAGAAAGAGAAATAAGGACGTGTTTCGGGTCCATACTGACGAATAGTTTCGAAGAAATCGAGAGAGGATCGAGAGAAAGTAAAAACACTAGTAGAAAACATGGCTTTGGTCTAGGCCAGGTAAGCCCATTAATCCCGGTTCACTCACGAACCGGAACCCATGGGGCATCGGTCCTGCTTTGTGAGGCCAGGGGGGCGGCCGGGCCTCGGGGTCATTGGTCCCGGTTTGTCTGGCCCCTTTGGTCCCGGTTCCAGACACGAACCAGGACCAATGGGCCTCGCTCCTGGCCCATAACCATTGATCCCAGTTGGTGACTGGAATCGGGACCAAATGAGGTCCTTTAGTCCTGGTTCTAGCCACAAACCGGTATTAAAGAGAAGCCTATATATAGTGCCCGCGCGCTCAGCTCAGCTCACTGCTCTGTTTTTTGGGAGAGGTGTGTGAGAGGTGTGTTGTGCTCTAGCTCACCTCCTATGAACATGAGGTGTTCGATGAAATGCATGAGCCACACTTAAGCTTTCTCCTCTCGAAGCTCCTTGTCCAAGCTCCATTTTCCTCAAGATTTGTCTAGTTTTGGTGATCCGTCCTGTCCCGTCCCCGTCACCATCGTTGATCGCCCGCGCCGATCTCGTCGCTGGCACCACCGTGGTTAGCCTCTTCTTCTTATCTTCTTTTTAAAAGAAAAAAGTTCTTACTTGTATGATTTAGATAGATACTTGTGTAATTTTCTTACTTTTATTATTGTTTGTTATTATATAGTGCGATGGTTTTGGTATCCGCCTCCGTCGGCCCTCGTCCTGACTATGATTCGGATGTGTTATATTATCTTTTATAACTATTTATTTCATTTAGTGTTTATGACTACTATGTTGACCAACGTGACATAGATTTTTTTATCTAGGAGGTATGTGAACCGAAAATTCTAACCGACCCTATTGTCGAGAGGTTAACTTTAGTTGAAGAAGAAAACAATTACTTGAAGGAAAATTTTTAAAAATGAGAAGGAGAAGATGATATGGGAGTTGCATGTTGCGGATGTCGTCGATAATCACAAGATCAAGATGGATGCAATGCGCTTGAAGATTAGAAAGATTAGAAAATATGTCATTCATACTGAGGCTTGGTATCATTATGCCGTTGGATCAATTGTTATCTTAGTTGCGATTATGATCGCATTTGTTGTTGCATTGAAATGTTTTAGATAGTTTCAATGTATGGTTTAATTATATGCTCTGGAGAGCTATATGTTGTTCAATGAGAACTATGTATGTATTTTGGTTTTAATGTGATGATGGACTTCTATTAATTTGGTCACTTCTGTCTTCATGATGTTCTGTAGTGGTTTTTGACACACTTAATTATATATAATGCACGCAGTTGAATCGGCAATGAATGTACGGTAACAGACGCACCTCTGAGTATATTAAGGGCGTGCATAATTTTCTTGAAGTGGCTGAGGCAAACAAATAGAATGGTTTTATGTGTTGTCCATGCCCTATATGTGGGAATACAAAGTCTTACTCTTACCGGAAAATTCTTCACACCCACCTGCTTATGAAGGATTTCATGCCACACTATAATGTTTGGACCAAACACGGAGAAAGAGGAGTTATGATGGAAGACAACGAAGAAGAGGAGGATGATGACAACTATGTGCCCCTAAATATGGTGATGCTGCAATAGGGGAAGCTGATGAAGATCGAGAGGAACCAGATGATGTGCCCGATGATGATCTTTGATGGGACATTGTTGATGCAAAGAGACAATGCGAAAGTGAAAAGGAGAAGTTGAAGTTCGATCGCATGTTAGAGGATCACAAAAAAAGGTTGTACCCCAATTGCGAAGGTGGCAACACAAAGCTCGGTACCCCACTCGAATTGCTATAGTGGAAGGCAGAGAATGGTGTACCTGACAAAGGATTTGAGAAGCTATTGAAAATATTAAAGAAGAAGCTTCTAAAGGATAACGAATTTCCCGACAGTACATACGCAGCAAAGAAGATTGTACGCCCTCTAGGATTGGGGGTGCATAAGATAGATGCATGCCCTAATGACCGGATCCTCTACCGCGGTGCGTATGAGGATTTAAACGCATGCCCGGTATGCTATGCATTGCGGTATAAGATCAGACGAGATGACTCTGGTGATGTTGATGGCGAGCGCCCCAGGAAGAGGGTTCCTGCCAAGGTGATGTGGTATGCTCCTATAATACCATGGTTGAAACGTTTGTTTAGAAACAAAGAGCGTGCCAAGTTAACTCAATGGCACCAAGAAGACCATAAGAAATATGGGAAGTTGAGAGCACCCGCTGACGGGTCGCAGTGGAGAAAAATCAACAGAAAGTGGGGGGACTTTACAGGTGACGCAAGGAACGTATGGTTTGGTTTAAGTGTAGATGGCATTAATCCTTTTGGGGAGCAGAGCAGCAATCATAGCACCTGGCCCGTGACTCTATATATCTACAACCTTCCACCTTGGATGTGCCTGAAGCGAAAGTTCATTATGATGCTAGTTCTCATCCAAGGCCCTAAGCAACCCGGTAACGACATTGATGTGTACCTAAGGCCATTAGTTGACAACTGTGTAATGGAAATGGTGTATGTGTGTGAGATGAGCACAAACACCAGGAATTTGACCTACTGCGTTGTTGTTTGTAACCACCAATGATTGGCCTGCTCTCAGTAACCTTTCAGGACAGACAAACAAGGGTACCATGCATGCACGCACTGTTTAGATGACACCAAAAGTATATATTTGGAAAAATGCAGGAAGAATGTGTATCTGGGCCATCGTCGATTTCTTCTGACCAGCCATCAATGTAGAAAGAAAGGCAAGCATTTCAAAGGCGAGGCAGATCACCGGAAGAACCCCGCCATCTGAACTGGTGATCACATACTTGCTATGGTCAATGATTTACATGTAATCTTTGGAAAGGGTCCCGGCGGACTATCTGTTCCGAATGACGTTGAGGGATGTGCACCCATGTGGAAGAAGAAATCTATATTTTGGGACCTACCCTATTGGAAAGACCTAGAGGTCCGCTCTGCAATCGACGTGATGCACGTGACAAAGAATATTTGCGTGAACCTGCTAGGCTTCTTGGGCGTGTATGGGAAGACAAAAGAAACAACGGAGGCACGACAGGACCAGCAACATGTGCACAAAAAATATGGCATGCCTCCAAAGCAATATGAAGGTACTGCCAGCTACGCTCTTACCAAAGAAGAGAAGGAAATCTTCTTTGAATGTCTGCTCAGTATGAAGGTCCTGTCTGGCTTCTCGTCGAATATAAATGGAACAATAAATATGGCAGAGAAAAAGTTTGAGAACCTAAAGTCTCATGACTGTCATGTGATTATGACGCAACTACTTCCAGTTGCATTGAGGGGGCTTCTACCGGAAAACATTCGATTAGCCATTGTGAAGCTATGTGCATTCCTCAATGCAATCTCTCAGAAGGTGATCAATCCAGAAATCCTACCAAGGTTAAGGAGTGATGTGGCGCAATGACTTGTTAGTTTCGAGCTGGTGTTCTCACCATCCTTCTTCAATATCATGACGCACGTCCTAGTTCATCTAGTCGACGAGATTGTCATTCTGGGCCCTGTATTTCTACACAATATGTTCCCCTTTGAGAGGTTCATTGGAGTCCTAATAAAATATGTTCATAACTGCGCTAGGCCAGAAGGAAGCATCTCCGTGGGCCATCAAACAGAGGTTGTCATTGGGTTTTGTGTTGACTTCATTCCTGACCTTAAGAAGATTGGTCTCCCTCAATCGCGGTATGAGGGAAGACTGGCTGGAAAAGGCACGCTAGGAGCAGACTCAATAATATGTAGGGACATGCATTCTTGGTCTGAAGCACAATACACAGTTCTATAGAATTCTACCTTAGTGACCCCGTATGTCGATGAACACAAGAATATTCTGCGCTCCAAACACCCGGAGCAGTGTGACGATTGGATTACATGTGAACACGTCAGGACTTTCGGCAGTTGGGTGCGAACACGTCTCATGGGTGACAACACTATTTCCGATGAGTTGTACTCATTGGTCAGGGGACCATCTTCGACTGTATTTACTTACAAAGAGTATGAGATAAATGGGAATACATTTTACACGATCGCCCAAGATCAAATGAGCACCAACCAAAACAGTGGTGTCTGCTTTGATGCAGCAACCAAGAGGGGAAAGGACACATATTATGGTTACATAGTGGACATATGGGAACTTGACTATGGACATGATTTTAAGGTCCCTTTGTTT